ACAATTTATAAACAAATCATGGTAACCTATTTTTTTAAATAATTATATAACAATGAACAATAATAACATTTAATATTTATAATATGTTAAATTAACACGTGCATTTTATGCGTTTATCTTAAAATTGTTTTAAAGCAATAGATTATTTCCACACTGATTTGTTCATTTGTTCAATTTGTTTAAATTGTGTTATTTTAATACATTAAGAAATGTTGAATATCAATTTAACACACAATATTTGAATGAACACAACTACATTATGTAAAATTAACACTCAGATATGTCAAAAATTTAATATAAAAATTTTAGGACCGGTTAACATAAATAAAAGATATTTTTTATCGTGTAAGAATATAGTTCGTATATCTGTGAAAGAGAGAACTCAGAAAAATTTTTAGATAAGTACCCCGCATACAGATACACGATAATTGAAGCGAAATCAAATTGAACGAAGTAATGAGAAAAGAGAAAACGTGCATGGAAAATATTACAAAAAACACAACAGTGATTTATAGCAATAAGCCGAAAGGCTAATTGAAAATAATGAATATGTAGGTAATGCAGAGAAAGAGAGAAAGAGAAAGAGAGAGATAGAGTGAGGCTGACCTAGACAAAAATTTATTGTGTTCTGTGGAGAGTCCTTTAATGCAGATAAAAATATAGATATATAGTAATATATTATCTAAAATTAGCTGAAATAATAAGAGGAGAAATGTAGAATCAAGTATCCTACTATAGTTAGAAAAACTATACTAATTGTAAGAAGGCAAAAGTTAGAGCTTTCAATTTAGAAAATAAAAGGTACTAGGCATTTCTTCTTTGAAGACGCGGGTTTGCAAATTTTTGCAGATAATAAATCTCACAAATATCTTTCTAATAAAAATGATTGATAGATAATTCCCGTTTGGAATGTACCGATTTGCCGAGGATAACAATAGTATTCTTCCTAGTAAAATCATTGATTATCTTTTTTATTCAAATTAAAGAAGATAAACGACGAACAAGGAGACGAAGGAGAACGAGGAAAAGTCTATTTGTGGCCTAAAACCTCATTAATAACGGCCGGAACTCGTGATGCTGCGTAATACGGCTGAAATGAGAAATGAGTAACGGGGTCATGCGCGCGTGGAGAACGCGCGGAAGTTCCGCATTCGCAGGGATCGCATAATCCTTTCCTAATGACGCGACCGTTTTTAGCTTTAATACGCGCACCGACACGCGCGGCAGTGATACGGCGAATATCCGGCGAATATCCGGACGCGTTTTCCTGCGCGGCTCGCGTATTTCGTCGCGCGGATTAGCAGTCCGCGCTGAAACGTATGTAAAGTCGCGCGTTATGTATGGCGTACTTATACGCGAAAGGGGACAGACTCCACGTGCTCCAGATTTGCCTTGGACTGTCCGAGAGCAAATACCTTGCCTTCGTCCAACTACGCTCATCCGTTTAGACTTCGACATCGAGCAACTCGGCAATTAAGTCTCGCAAATTTCTGCTCCGCTCGAGAAGAGTGTTTGAAAGTATGTTATACTTCCCCATGTGTCCTCTTGAGAGGACTTTGTTAAACATTTTGTCGTTTATGTTGCACGAAAATAGTCTCGAAAGGCAAATATATCTCTTAGATTTAGTTTTCGACATCTGTCATGTTGATACATATATTGGTTATTCCTGAGCAATGTATATGTGGCTTAATGCGGACATACGGAGTGCATCAGTGCCGACACTGGTCCGACGAGACGAGGCGAGTTTTCGAAATAAATCCTTCCGTACGCGTAAATCATGCGAGCTCTTTTTTTTTTCTCTCGAAACGCCGTTAATATTCCCGGCATTTTCGTGCGACTGTCACGCCGGACGATCGATTTCGCTGGATTTTTAGACTTCTGTTGACCCGGATTGTTATCGCAAGAAAAATACTCTTATCAATCCGACGAATCGCGTTGCCGTGATCGTGCATGAATGATGAATCTCCAGATAAACGAGGCTGAACGCAATCCATCAGATCACCGGCAATCTTGATTGAATCTGCTTGATCCGATAGAAACTCGCTTTGTACCGCGCGCGAGGACTGAAACTACGTGAAGCGCGTAAAGATCGTGTTTAACCTTTCGCGAACCAGGTGAAAAAAATCAACATGGCGAACCATGTAGGGTATCTCGTACCTCATGGTATACTTCATCATAAGTATGCTAATTTAGTACGACAGGCAACTCCAGCTACATGAAACGGTAACTTGCGCGCAGTATTTTTTAAAAAGTTAGAAGTTTACATCTCTCTTGCGGGGATGTGTCACACCTTACCTAGTCCACCGAAGATTAACAATGTAATATCGATCGTTAGTCACAGTGGGCCACCTTGGCAAAGAGAGAAAGAAAAACATCACCAAAGATGATTTCGTTAAATTTGGAACATGCGAGAGTACACCTCAGCTTCACCCGATTGACATAGTACCTGATATATCAGGATCCGTCTGGGTCGATATCGAATTTTTCTTGCCGAGGAGAACCAGCTTTCTTTCCGTCCGAAACGACGCCGAGCGTCTTCGCCCATTTCGGGGATCAGCCATCCCGTTTAGGTTTTACGGCGTACTTGGGGCCACGGTGTGCTCGGACTCGTCCGGACGACGGCATGCTCAGGCGTTTCCATCTCGAATAGAAGTTTTTATGCCCCGGGAGCTTATTATCCGCGGAACAGCCGCGGGCGCTCGTATTTCCGGATATAATTTAGCCAGTCGAGCGTTTCAGCTGCGCGCGGCAGGCTTAATTTCGCACCTACGTGCGCGATCGCGGCCAACGAAAACGGAAATAACTTCACCCTCACGTTACGAGCGCGGAGAAAGGGAGAGAAAGAGAATGAACGAGCGCGCGTTGCTGCTCGTCGGCCACGGCGCGGTGAGCTCCACGGAAAATAATTCAACGCTCTTGTCGTAAAACCGGCATAAATTGGGTGCGGTGTGCACCAGACGGTATCGATTCCCCGAGGCGACTGTCGACAGCGTTCTACGCTAGACGTAGACTCGGGAAATTTGTCCACTGCACTCTCCAACAGTGATTCTTGAGTGGACGAAACTTGAATGGGTCTTGAATTAACGCGCGAATTTTATTCGAAAATTATTCTTGATGGTATAAGAGTTTAAGTGTATATCGCAGTATTTATTTGCTGCACCGAGTAAGACTTTTTTATTAGCTAAATTAATCAAAATTTTCTCGTTTATTTTTTGCAGACGTCACGACGAAGCTTCACCGTCATCGGCGTTCTCCATTTGCTCGTCTTGGTTGGCCTTTTCGCCCTCGGCACGGCCGAGGCGCGGACGTTCTGCCCTACCGGCTGTACCTGCGACGATGACACCTTAGTGGTTTCCTGTGTGGGCGCCAATCTGGACGTGATACCTATTGCGTTGAATCCCAGCATCCAGCGAATAGTGTTGAAGGAGAATCGCATCAAGATCGTGGACGCAGCAGCCTTCCAGTTCTACGGCGACCTGAAGAACGTCGATCTTTCCAGCAACCACCTGTTCACTATACCTAACGGCAGTTTTGACGCTCAACGACACCTTGTGGAGCTCCATCTGAAGCACAACAAGATCTCAGCGCTGACCGAGAAGACGTTCCAAGGTCTCAAATCCCTCACGGTATTAAATCTGCGGGATAACTACCTGGAGACGCTGAAGAACGGCCTGTTCGCTTACTTGTCGAAGCTCGAGGAGCTTGACTTGGGCCAGAATCGCATATCGAAAGTGGAACCAGGCGCGTTTCAGAAATTAGGCACCCTCCGGGTACTGTATCTCGACGATAATCAATTGCGAACTGTTCCATCGCCAGCCCTGGCACCATTGAATGCCCTCGCCGAGCTTCACATTGGTTGGAACGCTTTCTCCTCGTTGCCGGACGACGCGTTCAAGGGTCTCGAACAATTGGCGGTGCTAGACATCATGGGCGCCGGTCTGGACAACATCAGCGATGGAGCGTTTCGCGGCTTGAATGCCCTCCGTACCTTGAAACTTGGCGCTAACAAACTGCGTGAAGTACCGACGAAACAGTTGGCGATGTTGCCACGTCTCGAGGAGCTTACCTTAGGCCAGAACTTCTTCACGATCCTGCGGTCAGGAGCCTTCCAAGGTCTATCGACGTTGAAGAAGCTCGATGTATCCGGCGCCAAGCTACTTACTACCGTGGAGAAGGGAGCCTTCTCAGACAACGCTAATCTAGAGACTCTTGTATTGAACAGTAATAAACGGTTGGCTGTTATGGAGGAAGGTTCTCTGGCCGGCTTACCAAATCTGAGGCATCTAATGCTACGTGATAACGCCTTTATCACATTCTCGGAGTCGCTGGTCGCCTGGAACGAATTGCGTCGTTTGGATCTCAGTGAGAATCCATTAGTGTGTGACTGCAGTCAATTATGGCTGGCTGAGATACTCGTCCCGAGAAACTCAAGCCCAGTGATATGCGCCGAGCCGCCCGAATCCAAGAGCAAGCCCATCAAGGGTATGACCGCAGACGAGCTGGGTTGCGCCTTTTCGGATTCGCGCAAGCAGGTTCTGCTGGTGACGGTGTGCACCACAGGATTAGGCCTCTTCTTTGGTCTTATAATACTCTTGTACTACCGATATCGCAGACGCGTGCGAGACGCACTCAAAGACTACAAGTGGAAGAACCGTGCGATATCACGAAAAGAGCATGAGTACCAGAAGACCTTCTCTGATGACGAGTACATTGTCCGTTCGGCACACGCCCATCATCATCACCATCATCATCAAACACCGCCGTCTCAGCCGGTGCCCACGCATCACCATCATCATCACCTTCAGCAACTGCAACAGCAACAACAGCAACAGCAGCAGCACGCTCAGATAGCAGCCGGTATCAAGCCAATACCGGTGACGGAGCTGTAGCTAGAACTACGGGCGGCGAGCCCCGGGACCGGTGGAGTTTGGTTCCTGCCTCATAGCAGCACCACCCTCGCCGAGGGCTTCACCTACATCGACGGTGAGACGGCGCGCCAGATGCGCCGCCCGGGGACGCTGCCCGTCACGAATAACGCGTCCGGTCACCGCGGAGCAGGAGGAGGAGGGGGAGGAGGAGGAGGAGGAGGAAGTGGAGGTAGCGGAACGGGAGGAGGGGTCAGAGGAGTCGTAGACGATGGTACAGCATCGCTGAGCGCAGCGTCGATCGACGGAGTCACGTCTAACAGCGCGAGATCCCACTACTCCAGTCACTCTCTGCGCCGTACGCCGCATTCGCAACCGCAACTCTCTGCCAGAGAGCCGGACGATCGGATACGGACTCTGGAGTCCGGACTTCAAAACGGAGTCCCAGCCGGTGGCCGCCATCAGTCGTCACCGCCACCGCTACCCTCCAGGCATCAGCCCAACTGCGGCCAGTCCTCGTATCCCACTCTACCGATCAACGGCCACGCTGCTCATCACTACCATCATCACACAAGAGAGCGGGAGAAAGATAGGCCGTCCGCTCGCGAAAGAAATCGTGAGCGGGACGGCGGTCCGCCGCCACCTCCACCACCGCCACCGGTAACGTCGCACCGATCCGATAAGCACAGGGAGACCCAACTAGAGATGGAGTTGCGCGACAACCTGGACATGGGCGTGATCGGCACGTACCGAGCGTAGATGATAAATCGGACGCGTCACGTTGCAGATAGACAAACGGCAAACAGGATTTGTAGTCCAGAAAAGACGTGATCGTATGATTACCGTGGACTCCTCCGTTGTGTTTCACATAGTATGGAGAAATTGACAATTTGAAAAGATGAAGGAGACCAGCGGAGGACTAATCAGAAGAAAGTTCCTTTCGTCGCGCAATATAAAAAGAATGAAAACTAGTAAAACGGGAAGAAGACTGACCATGCTGACGAAGAAATCGAAGAATATCAAGAAGCGAGACCAAAAAAATTGCACTAAAGTGTGATCGTCATATCGCCACGATATATAATCTATTCAAGACTTCTATTCGTATACGATCGAAATATTAGTATCATCGTGGATCGGCCATCGTAGATCAATTTCACGATCAGTCGAAAACCAACGATCGGTGCTAGAAAGACATTTGTTAGTTGATACTTTTATTTAAATTTTCGAAGTGAAAAAATGAAACTGAGCTTTTAGATACAATATCTAATCGCCGACATACCGTTATTAGGAAAAAAACCTATATTGATCATTGGTTATGAGATTTTTGTAATATAGCTTGATTAATGTAAAGTCTAAATATTAGCATCTCTTCGCGGATTACATTTTCACATCTGAAATATTTTTCGAAATTTTCAATTTTTTTCCTAATTTTTTAAAATCAATTTTTCGGCCTGTAAATGACGCAACAAACAAGCAAATAACCAATAGGCTCCCCATCGTAATCAAAAGGTGCGAATAAGCTTTGCGTTAAGTATATCTGTAAAAGATGCCGCATCTTTTCCGGAACGAGATGTCATTCCGAAAATTATACACCTCGTCTGTAATCCTAAGCGATCCTTAATAAGCCCATCTTCCCGCGCGACTGCTCGAAGATTAATATCCTCTCTACGTCACCGTGGGGAGTCGTCTCAGAATCTCAAAGAAAAGAAGACCCAACGGACACGGAATGACTTTCGCCAGGATTTTTATCACGTCCGTCTTATCACTGATGACCACAAGATCAGCACTGCCGATGAGTGATGCCAAACGGAAATCCCCCGCGCGGATAACCCGTGGGAAAACAGGGTCGGTCCACGATCTCCTTCCCTCTCCTTTCCCAGAAATGACGGGCCATCCGGCCACGTGGAGCCTGTTGTGTTCCATACAATACATACATATACACGCGTAAAAATTCTATATGCGCGGTCGACTACTTGATCGTGCTGAAGACCGCCGAGCTCGATCGAAACTGAAGTTCGATAGCGCATCGGTCTACGCCGAGTCATTCTTGAAGCCGATCCGAGGACGAGAGCTTAACGAGTCCGTATGGCTCTGAGGATCCGAAGATCACGATTCGAAGAACAGATGCGACTCGTTAAGATCCATCGATCATCACTCGATCGTTTTATCCCAGGCGGACGCGCAATTGAGAATTCGTGTCGCGCGAGATGAGACATGTATCATATGCGAGGAGATTGACGTACTATAAGCAACGTAGGACGCAACTATATAAATATATACATATACAGATATATATATAAATAAAAAGTATATATATATATACATAAATTATATATATATTCTAAACTGTCGAATTATTTTCTAAATAAAAACACCAATGTACAGAGGCACGACGGAGACGGTATAGTTGAGCTAGTGTCAACGCGTCCTCGACTATCTTTAACTATAAGAAATTCTAGATCGTCGTGGAGTTTCCGGGTACCTGCCTACTAAAATTGAAAAGGGAGAAAAATAAAGGAAGAAAGAGAGCCGATTGGTAAGCGGGTATCCGCGTGCGATTTGATCCCTCGATCGTTGAGGAATTGCGGGGATGGAGAAACTATCAAAACGTTATCTGATATTGCGACGCGAATTAGCGATGTAAGGACGATCGTTTCTTTTTTTCCTCTGGTCGATATGTAAGTTAAGGGTAAGATCGCGTTAAGGATTTAACCTTAAGAAGGTTTACGCTGTTATTAGGGAACCGCGCAGGTTTCTAAAACGCGGGTATCGTCCGTTTCCCTCGTTTCAACGGATGAGTGTCTTTCAGATCGTGAGGTCACGTCGATCTCTAACTGGATACCAGGGAATTCTCGCGGTAATGTCGTCCACTGTTAGATATCAAATGAGCAATGGTAACCCAATCTTTTGAGTTAAATAAAATTTTGTTATTTTTAACTTTTATGTACGTCAAAATTAATTCATTCCCGTGGTTAATTTTAAAATAAACATCGTCCACATATTAATTATAATAAATTATAATAAATAAATAAATTATAATAATTATAATAATACAATAAACGTCCGTATGTGTGCAGTTAGTAAATAATAAACTAAATTTGAGTCAAATTTATTACATTTTCTTGAGAGAAATTGTTTAACTTTATTATTTTGATTTATGAAATATTAAGTAGGAACAATGGCGCCTTACAAAAATTATTAAAAATAACTCAAATTGGGTATAATTTGACATTATGAATTTAACAGTGCAAATTCGTGTTTATTCTTAAAGATTGATCTAAAACGCGATATTCTAGAAGCTAAAGTCTTCTTCACTATCGATGCTTTCGTTACCAAAGCGTCTGTTTCTCTGTCTTTCTCTCTCTCTCTCTCTCTCTCTCTCTCTCTCTCTCTCTCTCTGTCTCTCTTTCTCCCGAATAGTAAATAATTAATAGATAATTAACCGGTCATAATTATTAATTATTAATCTATTAAATTTATCATATATATAATAAATTAAACTCATCAACAATAATTATTTTTACAATTTTCCGAATTTCGATGATGTTCCTCGTAGAATGCGTCTGCCAATCGCGAGACAATGCATCCCATGAGGAGAAACCGAGAACAGAGACACGATTCGTTTTGCCGACGTCAGGGTTTGAATCCTCGAGAGAAAGGTTACATCTCCCCCCCGCGCTCTCCCACCGCGGTACAGTGAGCCAAATTCCTCTGGTCCGCACGCCGCCGAAATACTGCCATTTAATCGTCCCTGAATCGTGATACCGATTATACCCGCCACGTGGGTAATTTTCCGGTCACTTTTACTTTCGATATTACACGAGGGAAGGGCAATTCCCGCGGCGGCGGTAGCGGCACATCGGAAATCCCGCGGCTCTGATAAATCGCGGCTGCATTAAAATGCACGGGGCGCGGCCGAGTTTAAGTTAGTTCGCCGACCGGCGTAATGGCCGCGGTGGAGAGTACGAGAAAGCGAGGAGAGGAGGGTAGGAGAGAAAGAACGAAGAATGAGCGAGAGAGAGAGAGAGAGAGAGAAACGAAACGTGTACGGCGAAGATGTACTTTACGGAACGAGATTATTTTTCCGCCCGAGTGTACCCAGTGGAATTCCACGGTCACCCGGCCTGAGAAAGGTGACTGCACCTTGAATCGACTCCGGCGGCAGCGGCGGCGGCGGCGCGATGCCGACGCTCGCTCGCTCGAATCGCTCGCTCGCTGCTGGGCGTGGAGAGAGAGTAGCGAAATTTCAGCTCCGCGCGGTAGAATCTACAACGGGTTTAGGATTAGGCTTGGAGGCGTTTAATTTCGCGATACAGCGGAAATCAGACGGAAATTGAGCACCGGGTAGTATTTGCAGAAGACGCATGTTGATTTGCACTCACGGGGGAGCTATCGCGCGTAATGTCGCGATTACATCCGGCGCAGCAATTGCTTCTTTCGGACAATCTTCAATCTCGGTAATAATGCGGGGGGGGGGGGGGGGTTGATTCGTTCTCGGCGAACTTAATTCACGAAATTATACGTTAAACGCGGAATAATGTGTGCTAAAAAGTTGAAGGAATAAATCTCGCCGAATAAAACACCGGACGCGCGGTAGCGATAGCGGGCCCGTGATTTATCGGGGGTAAATTACGGATGCATCGAATGGCGAAGAAAGAGACACGGGCGGGAGTGAAAGTTACTATCGATAATGGAGTAACCCCCCCGTCGTTCGGCGCCGCCGCCGAAGGAAAATATATTGCGGCTCCATTTTTAGGTATAACCGCGTAGAATTCTCTCTCTCTACCGTTGGATACATCTGCACATGTCTCAAGGACACTCATCCTCGCTCGTAAAACCCTTTCCACCCCGTTGACGCCGATTTGACATCGGGAATTTTATTATTTGATACGCGACGCGAATTTGTCGAATAAAAGCAGGATTTACGGCGTACGGCTGCATTTCGAGATAGAATTAAATGTGTACATTGTCACTTATCACAATTAATAGATTGGATTGCGAAGGGAGAGCGAAATATATCTTTGTAACGAGTTTCGGCTGCCGAGGTTCGAGATTCGCGAGCAAACTTTTCAGGCAATCGCTGGAAACTGTGAGATTTTTAATTTTCCCAATATCGATAATCGAACTATATGTCGATGATTTTTCCGAATAGTTCGATGGTTTTGTAAGCATTCTATGCTGCAAAAAAATGGCAAAAAAGCGGTTGAGCGGCTAAAACTATATATATATATATATATATTCACAATATAACTCTGACGTTCATGAAATATCGTTTTCGAGCGAACAGCTCTCAGAAATAAGTTCGATGCCAAATGAAACCGCGTAATCTACGCGGTTTCGATAGCCCGATAGCATGAAAGCATCATCGATTCTGAAAAAGATTTAGACTATTATTTTCGCTCAACTTTTGACTGCCATGAAGAAGAGCCAAACATACGATACGATTTTTATATTTTATACCGAAACAATTTTCAATATTTTATATCGAAAGGTACGTCTCAACGTACCATAAAATCGGTATTAAAGATTACTTCAAAACTCACAACGTTCGCGCTACGTTCGTTTTGCAGAATAGGTTTTGCGGAACAAAAGATGACGCAAAAAATAAGTAATCTCTTATTCTAACATAAATATAACCTTTCTTGAAAATACGATTACGTTTATACACACTCGGAAATATTGTTATATTTGTACGTATGAAAGATTGCAATATTGCTACATTATATCGTGCATTTGAGGATACGTGTAATGCACGTTTG